GGTGGCCCTGAAGCAGCTGTGAACATGATTTAAAAGAGCCAGGAAAATAGAATGACTAATTTTATTTCATTTTGTCATTGTTGCTAAGGGGTCGCCTGAGGGTTACCATGCGTTGAGTTGAACTTCCTGTGATGCCAAAAGAGGGAGCACTGGGATTCCTTATCAGCTTGTCCAGGTTTGGGAAAGAGCTGGACTTAGGAGCAGTGAGGCTCAAATATTAAACAGTTAAAAAAAAAAAGGAGTCACCCCTCGTATAGTTACAATGATTTGGGGAGGATTTTTGGGATATATATTTGCGGTGTGAATAAGATTTATATATCCATCTTCTTAGGAGCAGAGAAATAACTGAACAATTTATTAAAGAAATCGTGAAATCATGCTCTCCAAAACCCCCAATCTCTACTTTCCATGCTGTTTCCTGGCTTTGTGACCAATGATTTACAAGTCAACACTAATGTTACTCAAAATGATAAGTGGTTTCTCCTCTTTCTCAGGGTTGGGGATGATGCACTTACTTCGATGTTGTCTTTGACTATCAGTAAATCAATATGCGCTTAAACATACTTCTTTCAGCAGAAAAATGTTCTCCAACATGAAGTGTGGTTTTATAAATGAAGGAAACTTCCTATCCTGCCTATGTATAAATCACTAATGTTCCAAAACATGAGACTGCTTGATATTCATAGCTTATTTTTAATTACCTATTTATGCTTAGTAAGTAGATAAAATATTGGCTTATAATTTCATCTGAATAATCTTTTTAATAACTGATACTTACTCAAGTATCATCAGAGCATCATAACATCTGAATATAAGTGGCAGTATTTCAGCAATGGGACAGTATTCTAAGTTGAAGAGGAATTTTTACAATTCTTGACCATGTTACTATTATATCAAGAGATTTCCCTAAAGCTTTCAAAGGAAAAACTCATGAAAGTTGTCTTTTGCTGATGTCATGTTTTGCTGCAACTTCATTGAAGTGTTAGACACTGTCTAATTGAGACACTATTATCACCATTTCTTTTGTTTTTTATTTTATTATTTTGTGTATGTGTACCTTCAAATTGGATCTGACTGGTACAGGAGATTGTGCCTCCTTCTCTAGCAGAGCATCTGGTGTACTTGAACCATGTACCTCTGGGATTGCAGTGCAGCTTCTTGTCACTTGGCCACCAGAACTCCCTTCTTCTTCTTTTTTTTTTTTAACATGAGATGAATTTAACAACTAATTCTATTACAAAATACTTACATTCAGTTCACTAAATGCCTACCATGTGTTACTTATGTCATAAATATAAGTAGAAACTTAAGGCTTATATATTACCTTGTATAAAGTAAACCTTTTTTTATCCGGTCATCTCTTATAAAAGCAGAAGATGCTTTGTGTACAAAATTCTGCAAAATTTTTTTTACTTTTAGTTATTTTAATTTGAACCCAATTGTGTTTGAGGAAGACGCCTGAATCCAAAACAATGACAACTCAAAGCTATTTTTAAATGTTATCTAGGTCATTTTATATATGTCATTATTCTTAAAGAAAAATTATTCCATATATAATATTTTGGTGGTATAGCTCCAAAATTGTAAAATAATACATGTCATGGTGATTAATACTTTGAACAATCATTGAACAGCAGTGCTGTACCAACCAATAGAAATTGGCAAATAAGAATCAGAAACACTAAGTGTGGTCGATTTTGTCCACCAAAAGGTTATTGTTCCTACTACTAAACTCTGGCACCATTAAATAGGACCTTATTTGGCAATAGTATCTGTAAACATGTCAGTTAAGTAAAACAAAACAAAACTCAAACACTCCAGGTGCAGTTTTAGCTTTAGCATCTCTAAACAGTATTAAGCTGGTGAAGCATTGCTTTTATTTCCTAAGGTTAAAAAAAATATATATATATATATAACCCCCAAGTTTACAATTTAACATGATTAATGGTCAAGGAAAATGAAAATAAAAATTTGGTTGTAGGCTAGATCTTAAAAACCCTCTCAAAAAAATATAGTACAAAGTTGAAGCAACTTCAAAATGTATATACTTGCTCAGATTAAACAGTATCCATGCCCTTAGAGTATACTTTCCTGAGGAAGACTATCTGGCAAGGTGTAATGTGATGTATCATAATGAGATTCATAGTTATACTTGGAGACTTATTGGAAAGGCAAGGGGATATGTCTAGATTCAGAGGTAAACAGCTTTCTCCCTGCTTAGAAAGGAGGATTTGAAGTTTTACATTTCAATCATCCTGTGGGAGAAGCATCAACATGTTTGTATAGTTTTTTGGAGTTTGTTTTTTTTTTTTTTGCCAGATAAGCAAACTTTCTTTCACCATCCTGAGTCCCCACCTCCTTCACCTTTTCCCACAAAGACTGTCCTTGACCAACACCAGAAATGAATTTGATTTCTCTAATGCAGAAGCTAATTGGATTTTTCTTTATTGAATGCATCCCTTTAATGACTGTGTCTGTTCCTGCCAATTTAGCTGCAAGTGACCTGACATTGATCTGATGATATGACTTAAAATAAAGAACCGGAGCTGGAGATGGAAAAGACCAGCTGTCTGGCAGACGGGAAAAATGTCTCTTGCCTCATCTTGCTACTTTCCTGAGAAAACGCTTTATCCTTGATTGTCATTTTTACAAAACATGCTGCTGTAATAATTGGTCATACAGCAGCAGATTGCCGCCTTCTAGAAAATATAATAAGTATTTCCCAGAAAGTGCCCTGGAGAAAACATTGGAAATTGAATAAAACCAACCCAGTAATCATTCTGTTCCTTGAAAATATTTATTACCATGCACACTCTTTCTGGAATAGACTAAGTGTTGCTGACCACAACTAATTAAATATTTTAAAAAGCTGGTGAAACATGAAATGTTTATTTATGTATCCATTTACTTAACCTTGAGGTTTGGTTAAAATAAAATTTGACACAAATATTGTTACTCAGGAAGATTACAAAAAGCAGCTAGGCAGAACATTTTTTTCCCCTCAAAGGGTGTTATGATATAAAACTCTTATGCTCAAGAATTTGAGATTTTGATTTCCTAACTTTTCTTCATAGTTTAGTAACAATATAATTCTCTTTATGCAAGATTAATTATATCCCACCAACTTCCTCTTGTTCATTTTGAAAAACTGAAATATCTGCTAATTGACAACACAATTAACAGATATTATATAAATGAGAAAATAAAATCTTAATTCTTTTAAATATTAAGGAAAAAGTAAATGAGCAAATATTCAATTAGCAAAATTTATTTTGGAAGTATTGGTATTAGCTGCATTTAGATTTGCCAATGTAATTAACACTTCAAAAGAAATTAAATGATAGCTTATAATGAAGCCACTTCTTTTCAGTTTGAGCAGTGAGTAATTTATGCCCATTTTTATTGCTTAAGAGGTGCGGCAAGGAAACATAATACTTCTTCCTCCCCCCTAATATTAGTAGGTGAATAGGTACCTCTTTCTTAACACATCACATAAACGTATCATAGACTTTAGGTTACAAGAGCTAACAGAAATCTTCTTCCTTACTTAGTGATGGCATAGTAAGTTAGTTTTGTTTTCATTAACCAAGCTTGCGTCAAAACACTATATCTGGAATGGATATTGTGAAAGGATATATAGATTAAATCTTCGCTGGGTACTGGTTGCGTTATTCTTTTGATTGCATCTAAGTGAGCGTGAGAGGTGCTAAGGTCTCATTGAATGTTTATAGAGATTAGTTCTTGGGCATTATGTGGTACAGCATGTTGGGATTCTTTAAAAAGCAATGTGCCTTTCACAGGGAAGGGAGTAATAGTGGACATAGATCAATGGCAATTAATTTTATAGAACACAATATTGGGAATGAAACACAATGTGAATGAAGGAATGTGTGAAACACAATGCATACGGATTTTCTATGCAAAACAATATGAAATACTTTTTAAAAAGAAAAAAACAGTGGTAGCTGATTAAGGAGGACTCCCAACTGAACAAGAATCTTTCATCTTAAGTAATTAAATCTCACCCAACCTAGATCAGTCATTATATGTTACATCTAAATACAAGGTGACTGCTTTAAGGACAGGAAAAAGTAAAATATTTTCTTGGGTTATAGAAGGCATTTTTTTTACAGTATTTAATATCTCCTTGCATTTCAGATTTTAAAATTTTCAGTATGTATAGTTTGAACTTGAGCAATATATATTGAATGGATGGTAATTTTTTTCAGTAAAGAAAGAATGTGTCTGTATATATGTGTGTACAGAGGTACACATTTTCCTTTAATAAAGAAGAAAATGAATTTCTTCTCCAATCAGATTTTTAATAGCTTTCAATAATATGCTGCTTAATTGTGATATTTTTAAAAATGGTTTTATTTTTATATTTGTTGAAATCATTAATTTTTAGATGGATTTTTAAAGCAAACATATATATCCTAATTTATTTTGTTGCGGCCTCACTGAACAAATACTTTATTTTATATAAAAGAGTCCTTAGAAACAAAAGAGAGGTAAAAATAAGCTTTCCCCTCCGAGAGTTTTAAAGCCGAATAGAAAGAAAATGTATATAAGTATCACATAAATGAATCAGGGACTACAGCTAGGGAACATTGAAGACTTAAAAATATGGTGGCATGGCTTTAGCGAGGTTTTCCAAGAGAAGTAGAATTTGGTTCATTAAAACAGAGAGAAACAACATTCTTACAAGAAAACATAAAAGTTTTAACAACACTGTTGTTATTGTGTACCATCAAGTCAAAACTGACCCATTGCTGACCCTCCAGCTGGTTTTCAGAGGCAGTTAATCGTGAGGCGAGGAGATTGCCTAACCTTCTTCCGTGGAGTAGCTGGTCAATTGTAACTGCATGCCTTTGTGATTAAAGTGCAACTTCTTGCCACAAGGCCACCAGAGCTCCCATAATGAAGTTATATTTTTAACCCTGTGTTTAAAATTTAAGATTTGTGAAGTCCTTAATATTTTTGGTGTTTTATTCTCTTAGGTCACTGATATGATGCTTCAGGACAAACCCTATCCTGATTGGGGAAAATCTGCAAGAGCTTTTTGGAAGAAAGGAAATGTTAGGATCATTCTGTTTTGGTAAGACACTATTTATTTATTCATTTATATTTTCCCTCATTCACTAAAGAAGTGGATGCAATTTCCATTTTATATACAAAATTCTCTCTGGTGGGATAACTTTATGCTCCATTACAGTTATTAAAATTATTACCCTAATTATTATATAAATTCAACTGTGGCTGACTCTGAGAAGAATGGGAATCCCAGAACACTTGATTGTGCTAATGAGAAACCTATACTTGGACCAAGAGGCAGTTGTCAGAACAGAGCAAGGGAACACTGCATGGTTCAAAATTGGGAAGGGCGTACGCCAGGGATGTGTCCTATCTCCATACCTTTTCAACCTGTATGCAGAATAGATTATCTGGGAGGCTGGGCTCTATGAGGAGGAATGTGGCGTCAGTATTGGTAGATAGAAGATCTATCAACAGTCTGCATTATGCAGATGACACAACCCTGCTTGCTGAAACCGAGGAAGACCTGAAGCACTTGCTGCAGAGGGTCAAGGACTGCAGCCTTCACTATGGATTGAGGCTCAATGTCAAGAACACAAAAATTCTCACCACTGGGCCAATTGGCAGTATCAGGATTGATGGTGAAGAGATTGAGATTGTATACAGCTTTAGTTTGCTTGGCTAACAGTCAACACTCTTGGCACCAGCAGCCAGGAAATTAAAAGACATATTGCAATGGGAAAGTGTGCTGTTAGGGACCTCTCCAAAGTACTGAAGAGCAATAGTGTCTCTTTGGAGACCAAGGTGCGTCTGATACAGACCATGGTCTTTGCTGTGACTTTTTATGCATCAAAGAGTTGGACAATGACTAGGAAGGACAGACTGAGAACTGAAGAACTGATGCCTTTGAGCTGTAGTGCTGGAGAAGAGTATTGAGAGTACCATGGACTGCTAGGAAAACAAACAGACTCACCCTGAGAGGATTAAACTGGGATGGTCCTTGGAGGTAAGGATTCTGAGGCTTCATCTGACATAGTTTGGACATGTTATAAGGAGATACATGTCCTTGGAGAGGAACATCATGCTTGGTAAGGTGGAGGGACAGCGCAGGAGGGGAATACACTCTATGAGGTGGATTGATTCAGTGACTGGGGTAAATGGAATGGGTCTATCAGATACAGTGAGATTGGCACAGGACAGAGCAGAGTATAGGGCTGTTGTACATAGGGTCGCTGTGAGTCGCAAGCTACTTGACATCACATAACAACAACAACAACATTGTTGTAAAAGAGATAGGTACTTCTAAAACAGTGAAAAGAGCTGTGATGGCATATTGGTAAGGAGCTGTGATGCCAACCCAAAGGCATTATCAACTGCTCCTCAAGATAATCACCTGTTGGGATGTCCATAACTTTTGAAAACCCACTGGAGAGTCAGCTATGAGCTGGTTCTTACTCAAAAATATACAACAACAGTGGTAAGAAGCTGGCCTGCAATCCTGAAGACATGCAGTTCAAATCCACCAGCTATTATGTAGGAGAAGGATAGGCAATCTCCTCTTCTGAAAACCTGCTGGAGGGTCAGTTATGGGCAGGTTCTAACTCAATGGTATACAACAAAAATCCATAGCACAAAAATAGCTTAGAGTAAATATTTTCCCCAAAGAGGTTTGTAGTCTTTCTTATTGTTGTGTACCATCTAATTTTATTTGTTTAAACTTACTTGAATACATATAACAAAGCACAAGCAAAGAGCAAAGTTCCATAATATGTATGTTATTATTGTTATTATTATTGTTGTGTGTGTTTGTGTGTATTTAAATGACAACTACTGGGTTTTAGAGCAATTAGTAGACATCCTTTCTCTTATATAAACCCATAAGGTCAAAATCACAAGTTATTAAATGCAAAAGACAATCAGTATTTATTAAAGACAGATTTTTACATCAAAACTCTCAGTAAAGTAACCTTCCATGCGGTTTTCAGAGGCAGAAAGATTACAGCTTGAACCAGGTGTTGTTGTTAGGTGCCGTCAAGTCAAGTATCACTCATAGTAACCCTATGAACCTAAGGTCTGAATCCTGTTCTATCTAGTGTCATCCTCATACTTTCTGACACACAAGAGCCCGTTGCACCAGTCATCTCATCAATCCACAAGACTAAGGGTCTTTCTCTCCTTCGCTGACCCTCTACACTTCCTAACATCATGTCTGTCTCCAAGGATTAGCCCCTCCTAGCAACATGCTCAAAAATATGTGAGGCAAAACCTCATCATTCTTTCCTCCAAAAAAGCACTCCAGCTGCACCCTCTCCAAGACATATATGTTTTTCTAGCTGTCCATGGGAGGTTCAGTGCTCTTCTCCACCACCATAACTCAAAATTTTCAATATTTCTTCTGTCATCCTTCATTGTCCAGCTTTCAGATGCACAGTAAGTGATTGAAAAAACAATGACCTGAATCAGACACACCTTAGTCCTCAAACTGACATCATTACTCCTCAATAAATTGGAGATGTCCCTAACTGCAGATTTCCCTAGTGCAATACATTGCTTTATTTCCTGACTGCTGGTCCTACGGATGTTAATTGTGGATCCAGGCAAAATAAAGCTGTTGACAGTTTCAATCTTTTCTTCATCTATCTTGATGTTGCCTATTCATCCAGTCGTAAGAATCTTTGATTTTTTTACATTGAGACACAATCCATACTGAAGACTGAATTCCTTGATCTTCTGCAACAAGTGCTTCAAGTCCTACTGACTTTCAGCAAGCAAGGCTGTGTCATTTGCATAAGGCAGGTTATTGATGAGTCTCCCTCCAAACCTGATGCCACATTCCTCTTTATAGAGTCCAGCTTCTCAAATAACTTGCTCAGCATACAGATTAAATAGATATGAAGAGAGAATACAACCCTGATACACTCCCTTCTTAATTTTAAACTGTGCTGTTTCCCCCTGTTTTGTTCACACTACAGCCTCCAGGTATAGGTTCCACATGAGCACAATTTAGTGCATTGGGACTCCCATTCTTCTCAATGTCAGCTATAACTTGTCATGATTCGCACAGTCAAATACCTTTGCAAAGTCAATAAAGCACAAACAGACATTCTTCTGGTATTCTTTGCTTTCAGCCAGGATCCATCTGACATCAGCAGTGATGTCCCTGGTGCCATGACCTCTTCGTAATCTTACTTGAACTTCTGGCAGTTCCTTACCTATGCACTATTACAGCCCTTTTTTAATGACATTCAGTTGTACTTACTTCCATGTGATATTAATGATATTTTTCAGTAATCTCCACTTTCATTTGGATTATCTTTCTTGGGAATGGGAACAAATATGGACTTCTTCCAATCAAGAGTAAGCTGGCTGGTCACTTGGATTTAGTAAAAATCAGTTGTGGGCTGGAAGACACTTGTTTAAATCAGTCAGGACCTGGTAGGCAGGCCTTTGTGTTTAAAAGTAGATTGGGGCAAAGAGTAGTCAGTTCCGCGCCTCATGTGTGAAGCATTTGTATTCTGGAGGGTATGTTGTTTCAATTTAATTGAAAGTTGGGTGTAAATTGGTCATTATTTATTTCCTTAACAAACAAATGTAAGAATATTGGCCATTTGGATTTGATTTAAGATCATATGTACCTTTATTCTTTATCTAATAGCCTTGCTCTTAAGTACTTTGGAAAGGTCCATGACAGCAGAATTTCCCAGTATAAAACATCTTCTGATATACTAGCAGCTTATGCCATGGGTATAGATAGTGGATCAAAGTAAGATGAAGTTGTTGGCAACTTCCTTATTTTCTCTATTATGATATTACCTATTTGTAGTGGTGAGGATTTTTGTCATCCTGATGTTAAGATGTAATTCATATTGATGACTGGGGTCTTGGATCCTGTGCAGCAAGCACCTCAGGTTTCCCTCTCAGCAAGAAAAGTTACATCATCTACATAATACAGGTTGTTAATGAGTCTTCCTCTGATCCTGATGTCACGTTATTCTTTATAAAATTTGGGTTTTCTTATGATTTCTTTTCAGCATACAGATTGAATAGGTATGGCTAAAGGATACAGAAAGTATACCTTTCTTGATTTTAAACCATGCAATATTCCCTTGCTGCTCACAACAGTCTACTGGTCTATGCACAGGCTTCACATGAGCAAAATTAAGGGTTCTTGGATTCCCATTCTTCTTAATGATATCCATATTTGTTGTTATCCATACAGTCAAATTACTTTGGATGGCCAATGAAACACAAATAGACATTCTTCTGTTTTCCGTCAAGTTCTATCAGTTATCCATAATGTTATCCCCAGTGCCATGGCCTCTTCTAAATCATACTTTATTTCTGGTAGTTATCTATCAATGTAATGTTCTAGTCATTTTTGGATAATCTTCAGCAAGATTTTGCTTTCATGTGATATTATAAATTTTGTTCTATAATTTACACATTCTATTGGATCACCATTTTTTGGAATGAGGACAAATATGGATCTCTTCCAGTTAGTTGGCCAGGTAGCTGTTTTCCAGATTTCTTGACACACAGCCTAGTGAATATTCACATCTGTTTGTTGGACTATATTAATTGGTTTTCCAACAATTACTAGGGTCTTACTTTTTTACCAGTGCCTTCAGTGCAGCTTGAACTTCTTCCCTTTATCCACTGGCTCATGGTCCTATGCTACTTCCTAAAATGATTGATTTCTTGTTAGAAATCATTTTAATAGAGTGTATCCTTTCTCTCTTCTTTTGATGCTTCAGGGATAATTTAAGATTTTGCCCATAGCATTCTTGATATTGTAACTCAAGGCTTGATTTTTTTCTTTAGCTAGTCTCCTTCCTAAACAACATGCCTCTGGAAACTCTATGATTGTGGATAAATGTTGATAGTTATAGAAATCTTCAAGTCTTTTGTTCATGGGGTCACTGTGAGTTGTGCTTGACTGGATGGCAGTCAACAACAGCAACACTTTCAGATTAAGAAATGCTCAGTGAGTTCTTCCCTTTTTGTTTTTTGATACTAGTTCTTTGTGTATTTCCTTGTTATAACTATCAGGTAGGGGCTATTATT